TTAGTTCAAGTATGCAACCTTAATAATTTTTATCTGTAAAATGATTTTGTTGACAGAATGTAAAATATTAAAAAATTCGTTCTTGTCCTATGCCACCAAGCTAGATGTAATCGTCATATGTATAATGGAAGACGATAAACACTTTATTATTGTATATTCCATCTGCTGTTACTTTTCACCTAGACACAGATTTACAAAGTAGTCGTAGTACATTTATGTAATAAATACGAATATAAAATTATCGATATTGTTACTTCAGTATAATATTTACTATATATGTGAACCGCCATGACATTTCCAGGCTTATGGCGGTAAACTTTATAATGGGGAAACGTCGATTTAAAAATCGGACACCTGTTATTGAATGTCAAACTAATCATGCGAAAAAATAAAATTTCATTTTTTCTTGACTTGAGGAAATTTGAATCTTATATTTAGATATACAGGACAAGTAGTTTTTTACGTCAAATTAATAATTTAGGTAAAAATCCCGTTTAGAATCGCGTTCTTAATTCACAATATTTATCTTTTAGATTTCATTGCATTGCTCTGAATTAAAATTAATTCTCAAAGGGGCCTGAAAAAAAACTTTAGATCATTATAGGCATTTCAAAGTGCAATGTTTATATTTTTCTCTGATTTATTACCAATACAGTTTGCAGCATGAACACCAAGTTTTCGGAGTAAATCTCATTGTTCACATTGTAAGGGAAAATATTTTGGTATTCATTTGTTTAGCATTAATGTAGTTCTCCTTAAGAGAAAGAAAAATGCTCGAGTCATTATTATTTACATTGCAGATTCCGGTACATTGTTGTTATTGCAACCAAATGATTGATAAAGACGATAGATATGAAATATTCTTTAGTTGTTTTGTCCAAAATAAAAAGCAAAAAACAACGAAAAAACAATATGGCAAGTTTCAGAGATAACTATTATAATAGATGAACATACATGTGAACAATTGAAAAAAAAAATGTTTTAATAAAATCTAAAGTAACAAAAATGACCATAATTCTGTTATTTTGCAGAATCTAGCAAAATAACTTTTCAGAGTGTTTTGAAATATATGTATACTTCATAAAAATGCAAATTAATCATTTTGACCCTGGTACCTCCATATGACTGAAATATCATGGCTGGTCACATATATGCACTGGCTTGTTTTGAAAAGATATTTTTATCTGTCAACAAGTATACATTTGTTCATTTAAGATTTATTTTTCATTTCTAATCAAATTGTACCAATAAATTCTTTTTAATTGATTTTTGTTTTTCTTTGAAACTTATGTTGCAAGTTATTCAAATTTAAAAGAAAAAAGAAAATCTGTACTGATCACGTCTCTTTTTGCATACATAAAAAAAAAAGAAAAATGTTTCTCCAAATGTTAAACTATTTATCTAAAGAATCTCTGAACATATTTTCTGAAACAGTATTCCGATCTGAGTTTCATTTCGTAGCAACAGAGACATGTACACCATATATGTATATAAAATATTTTTGATAGTACATGTAGGTTGCTGCCAAGGTTTTCCTCAATCTTAAAGTTTCGAAAAATGTACAAAATCATCGTATTTTAAACAATCTTCAAAATGTACTGACTTTAAAGCCTTTATAAGGAGATTGTTTTACCTAGCATTAAGACTTTTGAAAAAATACCAATTTAAGAACCTAACTGGAGAAGAGTATATTTTATAAAGTTGCGATTCAAGGCCGTTTTATGCCAAAATTGAACCTTTTACTTGAAACACACATTTGCTCAAAGTGTGAATAGCAAGAAGAGGTTTCGTCTTTCCTATAATTTTCGAAGTACAATTAAATTTGAAGTAGCGGCTATTTAAGGCCACGTCGCTTTTCTATCCTTTTTAAATAAAGAAATACAATTGGAGGAGCACGTAAACAAAAAACGAAAACCATGAAATGGTCGATATGCGAAATCAGACAAAAACCAAACAACTCAGTAAAAACAAAAGAGAACAAAATAAATTAATCAATATTTTACATTCGTCAGCAATAAAAATGATGTCATTACACCAAGCATGCCATGTAAAGAAAATGAACGCCTTTAGTTGAAATAAGTTGTGAATAAAGTAAATATCTGTTTTCAATACAAAATTCCTAAAGCGGAAACATACAGTATCCAGGTAGAGGTACCTTACTGCATTAAACCGTTTTTCGTAAGAAACTTCAAAAATGAAGCTTGGAAGTATTTCTAAGATATTTTTTTTCTCTGTTTTCGTGGGTTTCTTTCGTTCATGCATATTAAACAGAATTTTTAAATGGTGTTAGCGGACCCGACCATTGTAAAACCATTTTTTTGTGTCAAGAAAAGACGTAAAAAAAGTGTTTCTTTCAGCTGTTGAAAGTAAATTTTGATAAAGTATATAAAAACAAAACTAATGTCTTAGAATATTCCTAGTTCTAGTTTTTTTTAGGAAATAATAACTTGTTAATTCATTATTCTTCAACAAATTTGTTCCTAGAAAAAAAAAAAACATGCTCCACAAACACAAAAAGAATAGTTGGTGCTTTATAGTTATTTTTTCCTGTGCTATGTATATGATGTTGAGTAATCAATCTACTCTGGAGTATAGCTGTCGGTAATATGAATAAAGGGCTTTGGGGTATAAAACAATTCAATAGCACACCCAACACAAAAAAAAAAGCTACCTGACATCTAGAATTAAGACTACTTATCTTCTCCCCTAAACGTTTTCAGATAAGGCTAAACCGTCTCCATTTTAGGAACACCCAATCGTGTCCACCGTTAATAAATAGTGATTCGTAATGACATATGATGCTTAAATACAAATCAAATTGATATCATAACAGGAACCTTAATTTTGTTTTGTTGCTGTAAAAATGGGACAGTAACTCTTTAAAAGCCCAAACACCACTTCCTTCAGAAGCAGACCGTGCGATGCTCTCATATATTATTTAGATAATTAGGCATTACCGGGATATATAAGTACAACAGAATTAACTTACTAAACGATGAATTAACTGTACAAAACTATTTAATTGCAACTCTTATGTTCGCTCTAAATATGCATGACATATATTTGCCATTGGACATTAAGCAATAAACAATCAAGAGTTAATTTATGTCTTACAAATTAATTTGTAATCATGCTAAATATTAACAACTGGCGCGTTGAACAAACTACAGTTTAAAATTTAAAACAATAATAATTATATTAATAAAAAAAAATACACTGCAAGTAAAAACAAATTGTATTGTGCCATTATTTTTGTTATCTGGTGTATGTTTATTTGAAAGCAGAAGTTATTAATTTCATCTTTCACTTTTTTTAGTGTACCATATCTTTGACATTTGTCTATACGCATCAATGCACCCTTTTCTCGAGATGTTTTTCGATTTTTTGTTTGTTTAGAATCCTGCAACGAAAACCCGACATCTTCAATTGTGTCACCTATCATTGAATTGCCGTAAACGTTATGGACGTCACTGAGGACATATAATCGCTAGAAGTTTTAGACGTTCTGGCGTTTTAAAGTGGACAATGGCGAATAACAATTATGTTTGACGGATGTACAATCGGGCACGTTAAGGCGAAATAGACACGTTTGGGGGTATCGAACACGTCTGGGGAAAGGCCACGTTTGGGAGTGTTACATATGTACCATTTATGTTTTTGTTTATTTTCAATAGGTTTTTTTTTAAATATTATATCGTATTTCTGGTAATGATTTTCATTGTACTGTATGTCATATGTTTTGATTCCAAATATGCCTCTATTCTGAAAGATTTTGTTTTATAGATTAATGTTCTTTCAGGTACTTTTAGTATTTCCACCGATCGATATTAAAACTGGTTCATTGAGATTTGTAAAATCAAGTCTTTGTAAAAATGTCAAGAGAAAGGAATCTTGACATTGGTTGTTGTATTTCTAATTGTATCTTATAATTTGTGTAAATTTTAGAATTTGGTACAAAACTTTACAAATGTCTGAATTTATTCACAAATTTTGTTTATTTTTGTGACCGTATGCTGAATTCAATATATTTATTAGTGTTGTTTCGCTGCTTTCTAATTGAAAAATACCTCACTTCTCCTGGTTTATATCATTTTAAGATAATAAATAGTTATACCCTTTACGATTTTAAAGTAGTGGAAAATTGTATTTAAATGGTATTTTTTATTACTAGTTTTAGTAGTGTTCATTTATTGCCTACGTCTGGTTTCGATAGCACTTATTTTTAAACATTAATTCTTTTTTTGGTTTTGAATATGTTTATTTTTTAATTTAACCAAATTTTTAATATTTGACTTCCCATTATAAAATTTAGTTCGGTTATGTTTAGTATCCTCGACTAATTGTTTCTGAAAGGGAAACAATATCATTCTAGGTACCTTACTCCCTTCTGATATTGTTTCGAAATTGAAGGTTTGTGTATGTTCTCTTAAAAAAATGTAACGCATAGTTCATATAATTGTTTAATTTCAATTCCTAGAAAATTAAAAAAAAAAAAAGTTGAATATGATTTTTTCATACTTTTGCATAATACTTTTGCATCATACTTCTGCGTACATTTTTATAACCAGCTACATACATACAGAAGAATAAAAAATTGACACCATTTATCATAATACTTTGTATCATACGTGTATTACCATAAAATGTCAAGAAAAACAAAGATTAATCCTGGACATGTATTTATCAGACGGAAAATCCTGAATATTCAAGGACATAATCTACTATAGATCATAATGTAAAGCTTTGCACTTTCCACCTTAACGCTGACTTTTCGAAGGTAAGTTCGGTTAAATTATTTTGTATTTAACAAAGTATTTCATCTATTATCATATAAAAGTTTTAAATACCAGGTGACTTTTATAACAAATGAAACAACATTTTAACGGGAATAATGTTGACAGCAAAACATTATGGATCTAGCATTTAATTGTGTATGATGTAAATCGAAGTAAACTACGTCATTAAGTTATATTTTTTTAATGCATGTACAATATTTTCAGGACGTATGTTTAAAATGAAACACTTATCAATTGTTGGAGCATCTTTTGTGTTACTTCTTATCTTTTCATGTGGTGAGTAAAGGCATTTTTATAAAACAAAATATTTACTCGAAAAGTCTATATTCAGTATTCTGAACATTAATTATGTGTATATTCAGATAAGATCATACCACGAAATCATGATTTAATTGAACAATTAAGATATAAGTTTTGGTCTACAACAAAATTAGACAAAGGAAAAATTAAGACGGGAAATCAAAGTCAAAGTCAAAATTGAAGGACTGACACCCCATTACAAAAAAAAAAAGAAAAAAAAAAAAAAAAAAAAAAAAAAACAGTTCACACTGATTTAAATTCTAGTTGTAATAACTGGTTAATTAGAAGAAAACCTCAGGAAAGTCCACAAAACCTGCTTTATTTGTAAAACCTGGAGTTTTACTTCAGTTCTAATGCCTTTTCAGAAATAAACTAATGCTAATGCATAGGTTTTTTCAATATATACGAGAGAGAGAGAGAGAGAGAGAGAGAGAGAGAGAGAGAGAGAGAGATAATTGCCTATTCTTTCACATGATTAAACATTAAATTAAAACAGGTTTACTCCCACGAATAACGTTTAGTTCTACCTTATATCTATAAAAAAAAATGGTCAGCATGTTCAAACTAAAAAAGAACGAGTCCTTGACATATTTCAACATTAATCGAAGTATTTGACTTTTGAATGACCTTAAACATTACTGAAACATATTATTCATGTTAATATCTGTAATCTTCCACATTTAATACAACGTTCAGTGAACAGGTTATGACTGTATCACTATAACGAAGAACAAACACGATTAAAAACATTTGACTTTTTTTCGTAAAGCCAATGATGATTGTTAAAAATATACTTTTCAGTTCTGGAAGAACATGGAGTGGAAGCACAACCCCGGCACAGTGTAAAGGTACGCGAATGTCAACGATACTGTCGACCACCATCGTCAACTTCTTTGTGCAACTATTGTTGTAGAAATACATTTCCAAGGGACGACATTGGAGAGTGCCATTTTAACGCTTGTCATTGTTGGGTTTGGTTAATCTAGATATCAGCATATATAATAACCAAGACGTGACATCAATAAAACAAAATTGTTTTTCATTTAGAATGCATTTATCAGTGAATGAGTATCATCATATAACAAGACCAGTACCAGGTCTGATCTTGCAATATAAAACAATCAGATCCTACATAACATTATAATTGCATGCAAAATCAACAATTATAAAGACAACAGCAGCAACAACAGCAGCAAACGTTAAAAACAGTGATTCTTTGAAACATCAAATTTTATAACAAACAAGGGCATTATACACTCCTCAAATGGCAAACGTCATATCCACAGAAATTAAAGAAAAGACAAAGAATAGTCCAGAATAAACAGCTACAAAAATTTTTTCACACATTTTCTGTAATGGATCACAAAGTCATGATGACACATTCAAGATAAATAATATTTGTGTCTAATTTTAGTTGAATTTTCAATTGAATTTTGATCCGAAGGTCATACAGTATGTACTTTTCAAAAACCGATGTGTAGCATAACATAACTAGGTTATCGTACTAATTTAATGTATGCAATAAATCAAATAGTGTGCCTTTATTTTTTGGTAAAGTATGTTTTAGTGTTTAGTTTATAAGGTCGTACTTCAACTGTTAACATGCTCAAAACCCCAAAATGGTCAAACATTATTTCTAAATGTTGTCGATTGAACATTTGTCTAGCCATGACATCGCGGCAACTTTTTGAGGAAATGACACGTTTTAGAGTTTTATATGTATATATTACAAAATAGTGCAAATAACGATGAAACATCGACGGACAGACTGATGGACGGGGTGCCAAACTATAGTCCCCTCAACTTTCGTCCGTAAGGTACTATTTACTAATTACTATTACTTTTTAAAAGAAGCTGAATTTGTTTTCTTTCATTATGTTCCGTAAAAATGTCTTACGGTAAAATTATAACATGACATAACATTGCCATTAGCAGGAGCTCGGATGACAGAGAGGTTTATATGGCAAGCCGTTTTACTATTTATTCGAACTTCAAGATATCTCATATAATATATAAGATATCTTGTTATTTCAATTGTCTCATTTTGTGAAATCTCTATATCGCCATGTTTGGGACCTTTGATTTTTTGGACTATTCTTTCGGCTTGTTGCTTCGGTACTCGTTTGCCGATGGTTTTTTGGTACCAATGGTTGGCTGGGTGCTCTTTTTAAATCTCACGGTCTCTTCAGCACTTAGGTCATAAGATTTAGACCGGATAAACTTCTAGTATTTGGCACAAAGGGCCAACCCGTGGTAAAATCAGTAAATGTTAAAGCTCCCATGAGAGTAATTTAGATAAAAAATTTCAAACAAGATACCAAAAATTGCATATGCTTTCATTGAAAAGGGTACAAACGTCTCGAAAAAAAACGAGGGGAGGAGGGTAATAAAGAGTTATTAGTCAAATAAAACCATACAACACCATGACCAAAAGGAGGCGACAAAAAGACAAACAGTAATAACAAAATATATAAACAGGTAACTACATATTGAGAACGAACTTCGTATCTGAGCAACCACAAAAACCTGGAAAAATAAAAAAAATATAAAGATATCTCATTTATACTTTATTCATATTAAGCAGCCCTTTGTGTTGGTCGGTTGTAGCATAATCTCACCCAATTCTAGAAGACACAACCAAAAAAGGGACCAAATAAACAACTGCTCCATGTATACAGTTTTAGTATTATGAACCCTATCCCGTGTGAATATTCATTTGCAGTTACCAAAGATGATCTACCAAAGTGTATGATAGTTTTGTTTTATCTTTATTACAGTTTCATTTGCAAAAACAAAAGTTCTTTGTATTGGTTATAAATGTTACGGACAACATACACCATGTCCTCTCAGCCGACGTCGTATTTTTTATTTTAATAAAAAAAAAACATATTGAAAAGCTTCTATAAATTAAACCACTGTGTAATATATTAAAAGTATCACGTGGTTTCTTCTTTTGTACTACGAATTACAATGTATGTAACTGTTCACAGTTCTGTAATTTATTTCCCCCATCCGAAGTAATGATTTAAAATGTTAACTTGACATGCCATACTTGATAGAAATGCCGACGTGAAAGAAAGCACTCTAAACTAAAGTATCAACGCCAACAGAGATTACATTCCACGGAGGTTACATTTCGACAATTATTCATTTATAGACGCAAATACGTGTATCTGAAGGGAAATGTGTATTAAATTTTAATGTCGTCACCGATATCGATCTGCTGGGTGTAGAATTTTACTGATAAAAGCTACACCTCTAAAAGAGGGACGAAAGATACCAGAGGGACAGCCAAACTCATAGATCGAAAACAAACTGACAACGCCATGGCCAAAAATAAAAAGACAAACAGACAAATAATAGTACAGATGACACAACATAGAAAACTAAAGACTAAGCAACACGAACCCCACCAAAAACTGGGGGTGATCTCAGGTGCTCCGGAAGGGTAAGCAGATCCTTCTCCACATGTGGCACCCGTCGTGTTGATTATGTTATTACAAAATCCGGTAAATAGTCTAATTCGGTAGGTCACATTCGTGAAAAGGGAAGGGTATTGTAGTTACTACATAAGGAACATATCCGATATCATCTGTGAAACGGTTATTCCATAACGGTCAACCAACTCGTGATGGCGTCCGTAAAATTTACGAAGGGGTGATTTCAACTGCACCATTTGGAACTCTTGGTTTAATAGCTTCCTTGTAAGCAGCAATCCTCTATCAAGGAAATCATGATAGGAAATACAAGCCCGGGAATATCGTATCAATTGGGAAATATATACTGTAAATTCAGCAATTATTGCGTGCATTTATTATTGCGATTTTATAATTTTAGACTAAAATGCAATTTTAATTTTTGCGATATTGAGAAAAATCCTGTTTAATTCATATAAAATATTTCAAAATGCGAGTTTAAGTTATTGCGATTATTACCCTGTCGCATTTTTCGCAATAATAAAAACATCGCAATAATTTCTGAATTTACAGTTCTCCGTATGCAGGCGCTGCTGGAATGTTGCTACATAGAAATGAAAAGTTCACAATTGGGAAGCTGAAATCATCTCTTTTGTCGTAAAGTTTTGTTTTCAACCGACCCTCATTGTCAATTTCTAGATGTAAGTTAAGATATGAGGCAGACTTAACTGTATCTGTAGTATCCTTTATCTTTAGTTCGGTGGGATAGATTCGTTCAACATAGTAACCAAATTTGGTATTATTTAGTGAGAGAACATCATCTATATAGCGGAACGTAAAGTTAAAGGATATTGCTAACTTTTTATCTTTCTTCATAAGACGTTCCTGTATGAAGTCAGCCTCATAATAATAAAGAAACAAGTCGGAAAGAAGAGGGGCACAATTGGTTTCCATTGGAATTCCGACAGTCTGTTGAAAAACGCGTCCTCCACTGCACTTTTTTGTTTGTATAGCAAAGACCGGGCTAATTAACAAAATAACCATTTTATGTGGTATATTTAAACGTTGAAATAAACTCTGAATTAATTTAGTATTCCCAAACGTGAATTTTTCGATGTAACCACAAGCCTCGACCACGGTATAAAATATTGTCAAAGTGTCAAACAAATAAAACAAGAGTAAAATTACTTTGGTCAAAGCCTGTGGCCAATGCAAAATTTAACCAGAAAAGTTGGATTCCGGGTATTACGTCACATTTAATCATCGATGGGGAGTAGCCTCTCTCGGTATTTTTTCGGCTGATTTTGAGGTACAATCAAGCCAAGCATTTGCATGGCATATCCATGTTAAATGTACAATTAAGAATTTAATAGCGCTCCTTCGTTCAATTAAACTTAATAGTGAGTTAATAGACTATTAACGTTAATCAACGCTAGTAATATACAATTACATTTAAGTGTACTTTTAATAGACAATTAACTTTAATAGACGTTTGTGCAACCCAGTCTGGTTGTATAAATGATACAAAATATGTTTCTTGTTAAAACTTATTACGTCAACATGGTTAAAGTGGAAATATTTTGGATGAGATTTCCAACCAATAAAACATGTTTTCGGAATTTTTTGACAGCTAAAACTGTGCGACTTTCACTATAAAGTTTCGTAATAAAATATATCCTAGAATGGAAAGTTTATATGCACTACAAGTGTATTTAAGTGTCAAAACATAGGGTTGTGCGGCGTATTTTTAACATTTATATGCCTCGAACTTGTAAAAATGTAAACGTATACCAAAATTCTATATTACCCCTCCCTCCACTTTGGGACTTCCTCAGAATTCATTTGACCGCTATTCATGTGTTTTTATATTGGTAACATTCTCAAGTTGTGTCTCTACGGGATGAAGCATGAAGAGAATATCTTGGAACCAGTTGGTAAACAAAACAAAATATTTATGAATTTAAAATTTCACCCCAAAAGAGGCGTGGTTTGTGAAACAGCTGTATTTACAAAGTGCAACCTGAAATAAGCATGAAGAAAATACTATGTCATACACAAATTACCAAATTATCAGACAATTCAGTTTGTTATTGGTATGTACAGGTAAATAACAACTTTTAGACAGTCTGAAAAAATACTGAACATATTTTGATTAAGTGCAAGCGAATTGTCTTATAAGTACTGAATTTACGCAGTGGATAATTTGTTGTTCGGACTTTTCGTGACCGTAAGATCAAAATGACTATTTGAGACAAAAATGCATTGATTATTATTCATTGTTGTTTACCATCTTCAGGCAAATCAAAATAGAATAACGGCAAAATTGCTAAATAGGCACATACACAGTTGGCGAGGACAACGTGTTGTGTAATTAGTCAACCGATCTGGTGTATCGTTTCAAAAGAAAGTTATCTCTTACATTATTTAAATCAACAGGTGTTGATACGTTTAATTATTGTTATTCCTTCTAGCATATTTTTAAGTTGTTACTTTAAATTATATATTTTAAATTGTTAGTTTTGAAAACGAGCACAAGCGTATTCTTATTTTTATTAATTTGATCTAAAATTCATGATCATACAATTTTTTAAAAGGAAGAAAAAAGAAAAAATTGTGAATATGCGAGGCTACTA